GGGATTATAACTGTGCACCACCATGCCCAGCCAGACTTTCTTTTAACTTAAAATAGTTGAGTAAATAAACAGTCGCGTCTAAAAGCCTACTACATGGAAGTGGGAGAAAGATAATAATAGTTTCTTATGTTGCTTAATTTTTGTAGTTTTCGAAGTAAGTTCATGTTCTGTTTCACATGGGTTGATCCAGCTGCCAGATGTGTAGCCCAGATAGGTGTGTTGGAATCCCATTTTAATGATTCTGAGCTGAGTTCAGAAAGCTTAAGTGGCTCCTAGCAGAGCCAGTATTAGAATGCAAATATTAATAGGAATAATTCTTATCCTTGAGGAGCAATCTAGAGGCATATATACTGAAATGTGTCACTGGAAACATTTGACCTTTCCCTGTTGTTACAGAACAAGGGCCCACCAAGAAGCCAAAGCAGCCACAGAGGTCCTCTTCTACCATTTCTCGTACTCTCACTGGAAAGATTTCAGACGTGTTACTCTGAGTAGGCATGTATTTATTAGAAGGGATAGGAAAAGCGGGGAGAGAAACACTCTTAAGGAAGAGAACGGATCCTCTCAGAGAGGTAGGGCATGACTTTCCTGCCCTCCTGTTTTATTGGGGGTCTCAGGGAAGTTTCCAGAGAGTCCTGCCCCAAGACTACCTCTTGACTTCTGACAACAGGATTGGGTCAGACTTCAAAGGCCCCTTTGTGCATGGTATTGCCCCGTGAAATGAAGATTTTACTATTGTAATGACATGCTAAAGATCCAGGGCAACTCTGGGTCACTTTGGCCTACATTGGCCCATTCTAGTTGAAACTTGTTCTTATAGATTTATGTGATTAGGGGGAATTATCCTGTCACCCTGAGATGTGGAATATGATCTATGTAAAGGACACAGCAGTCCCATCTCCCCACCCCTCTGCTTCAGGGTAATCTGTATTCTTTTTGTCAGCAGGGAGGAGCCTTTCAGGTAATAGATTATTCTTGAGAAACATAACATATCCCATTGACATAAGCCAGGCAGGGCTGCAAGTAAATTGTTTTTGGAGACAGAGCATGTGGAGGCCAGTACAGTAGGTCCAGTTCATAGAATGATCCCCTTAATCATATGTTCCACATTACTCACATCTATTACCTGTCACCCATGACCAGTTTCCTGCCAGGCTCTCAGGGGACCACAAAGGACCTTGCTAAGGTAGTTTGACCTCAGCTTCTCACTGCCATGTTACTATCTCTGAGTTGATACTACTCTAGCTTTGCCCTTCATTTTGCTAATTGATGTTGACATATTTTATTTTGTTTTCAACTTCCATTTGTTAGTTAATTTTTGGTATTTCCTATTTTTTAATTTGTTTCAGTCAAAAGTTTACATCACTGAATATAGTTGTGATACATTTAAAATTCTTACTTGGGGTTTCCGTTGATTATTCTTTTTACTTGAGAATGGATCATCTTTTATTGATTCTTTTCCATTTTCCTTTTTTATTAACAAAAATTATATATATTTATTGTATATAACATGATGTTTTGAAATATGTATACATTGTGGAATGGCTGAATCGAGTTAATTACCATATGCATTACATGACATACTTAACGATTTTTTTTGTGATGAGAACAATTATAATCTACTCTTAAAACTTTCACATGTACAATACATTGTTGTTAACTATAGACATCATGTTGTACAAAAGTTCTTCTAGAACTTCCTATCTCACTGAAATTTTATACCTTTGACCATTTCTCCCCAGCCACTCCCTAAACACCACCTCATCTCTCACTTCCTGGTAACCACCATTGTCCTCTCATTGAATTTAATCCTTTTAGATTCTACATATAAGGGAAAGCATGTAATTATTTGTCTTTCTGTGTTTGGCTTATTTTACTTAACATAGTGTTCTCCCAGGTTCATCCATGTTGTTCCAAATAACACACTTTCCTTCCTTGTAAAGGATTATCAGTATGCTTTTATGTACATACACCATATTTTCTTTATCCATTCACCTGTCAGTTGACATTTAGCTGGATTACATATATTGACTACAGTGAATAGTGCTGCACATGGATGTGCAGATATCTCCTGGACATACTGATTTCATATCCTTTGGTTATATGCTCAGTAATAAGATTGCTGAATCATATTGTAGTTCTATTTTTAAGTTTTTGGGAACCTCCATACTGTTTTCCATGATGATTGGACTAATTTACATTTCTAACAGTAGAGTATATGAGTTCTCTTTTCTCCACATTCTTGCCAACATTTGTTATCTTTCACTTTTTTTCATGATGACCATTATAACAGATATTAGAATGGGGGAATATCTCATTGTGGTTTTAATTTTCACTTCCCTGATGATTAGTGATGTTAAGCAGTTTTTCATAAGCTTTATGTCATCATTAAAGAAATGTTTATTCAATTCTTTTTTCCATTTTTTAATGGGATTTTTGTTTGCTTGCTATTCAGTGGTTTTAGTTCTCTTTTGGATATTAATATTTTGCCAGATATAATTCACATATGTTTTTCATCCATTCTGTAAGTTGTCTCTTCATTGTTGATTGTTTTCTTTGTTGTGCAGAAGCTTTTTAGTTTAAAGACATCTTATTTGACTATTTCTGCTTTTGTTGTTGTGGTCTTGGACCGTATCTATAAAAGCATTACCTAGAATAATATCATGGAGCTTTCTATGTTTTCTTCCAGTACTTTTATAGCTTCAGGGCTTAGGTTGAAATCTATTTTGAGTTTGTTTTTGTATATGGTATGAGATAAGGGATTCAGAGTTTATCATTTTTATCTAAAAGATGGTTAGATCTGGTAGAACCTCCCAGTTCTTCTTATCATGATTTTGGATTGTATTCTGGACAATGTTGTGCTATGAAGACTCTGGATTTTGTTATAATCCTTCAAAGAGAATTCGTGCTTTTGCCTTAGTGGTCAGTTAATTTGACTAGATCCAGACTGCAAACTCTCTTGAGCAGACACTCAAATATCATTTCAGTTCTTTTCTGTTTATTAAGGTTAACTTGCATGTACCCTACACATGCAAATTTCAATAGTCAGCTAAAGTAGAAGACTAGAATTTAGGATTTCCCCTCTTTAGCTTTCTCCTTTCTGGGATTCTCTTTTAATGTTACAGTGTCTATAGAACTTCTTCTGATCAACCACCTATGTATTGGGAATTTCCATGGTCTCCTCCTCAGTTTCAATTAATTTGCTAGAATGCCTCACAGAACACACAGAAATGTTTTAATTATGTTTTCCCATATGTTACAAAGGATATTACAAGGATACTGATGAATAGCCAGATGGAAGAGATGCATAGGACCAGTCTTGTGGGAAGGGGCATGGAGCTCCTACATCCTCTCCCTCCAATCATGGCTTAATCCTTCCCTGTGACCAGCCCCCATCCTGAAGCTATCTAGGAGCCATTAACCACCAGTCAGCTCATTAGCATACAAAAGACATTCTTATCACTTTAGAGATTCCAAGAATTTTAATAACTGTGTACTAGGAGGAAATGGGAGGATGACCAAACATGTATTTCACAATATCACAGACACTGACTTTGGCCATTTCTCAAGCTAAAAGTCACTAAAAATAAGAACCTGGTGCCACCCTTTCCTCCAAGATTTATCCATTCTTTCCTCCACCCTCTCTTTCTACCATCCTGTGAACCAAAAAGCTCTCAGACCATTGATGGGGGTGTTGGGGAGAGTGCAGAGTTTATCATTTTTATCTAAGGGTTGGTTGGATATGGGGGACCTTACAGAGCCATACAGGAAACAATATTTGTTGCATTATGCCTTTCTGTGTAAAGTTTTGTTTGCAGAAAGGGTACTCAAGCTTGGAAACAAAAACAAAATTTAAAAAGTCTCTATACTTGGACAGCTTCCAACCAAGTTTTAAATCCTCTAACATCATTCTCAGAGACCTACATGTCCAGCCTCTGTTGTGAGCACCCTCAGCAATAGAGCCCTTCCTCTTTTTCCTCTGTGGTTTCTCTCTTCCCACCTTAGCTTCCCAAGGTCCATCAAAGGATCTTTGTCCAAGTCTCCTCAGTGACAGGATTTTAGCAAAGCTTCTTAGAAGGAAAAGCTTATCTAATTTCCTCTGCTAAGTGTTGCTTTTCTCTGATTGGCATTTCAGATGGATGTTTGTGTGTGTGTGGAAGAGAGAGATAAAAGGAAGAAATGCACAGCTCAGCCTTTATTTTGACTTCTGGTTGCTATTGTAGTAACTCTGGTTGGCCTGGCATGTGCCTTGAGGCATGTAGCATTCTAGAGAAAAGCCAAGGTACTTGCCTGGTGTGAATGGCTGAGAACATACTGCTGTACTGACCTCCTCAAGAAGGAGGCAGGATGATGACTAAGGTGATAGATATCTCATGGTTTTATGAGGAGATAACCTGAAGGACTGTGGTTAGGACCCAGATATACATGAGAGGTTTGGGCATCCTACTATGTAAGCAAACTAAATATAGAAGAGGATAACTACAGTCACATGGATAATAGTCTTAGAATTGGGAGTCCTGGGTCAATGTGTTGCATGCTCTATAGTGTTTAAGAATTCTCCTTCACTTTCCATGTGGATTTTTCAATTAGCAGTTGATTTTACAGGATGGCACAAACTAACTGGTGAAAATGTGTACGTGAAAGCATATGGAGGGAAGAATATTCATAGAAGCTGATTGTGTGATTTATGTATGTAGACAGAAGGTAGTACAGGAGATAATACTGTTAGATTCCTTCATGTCAGGGACTCAGCCTTTCTGAAAGTATATCGTCCACCTGAGTTCCATTGGGGCACAGAGTTTTAAAAGTGTTAGCTTCTATCAAAACAGAACATGACACAATATTTTGAGTTACCTTATTCTCTAATATAAAACCTATTATTTATCTGGGCATGAACTGATCTTAACCACCCCCTCTGCTAGGAAGAAAACAAACAAAAGCAAAATGTATTCTTTACATGCCTTTTTAGTTCATTCATTTTTCAAATTTTTATTTTTCAGAGTCACAAGCAACAAATGCTACTGTGAATCCCCGGTCATTTTTTCTCAGGAATTCCAATGATAGATTTGAAATCTTCCCATTGGGAGAGGATGAAGAGAAAAATGAAAGTGCATTAACGGAAGACAGATTCGTCTCCCTCAATAAAAGCAGTCCTCTTCAAAAACCACCCCCTGTGTTCATCTCGAAAGATGCCTCAGGATACCTGACCAGCCCCTGGCTGACTCTCTTTATCCCTTCTGTTTACACCTGCGTGTTCATCATCAGCCTTCCCCTGAACATCATGGCTATCGCTGTGTTCATCCTGAAGATGAAGATCAAGAAGCCAGCTGTGGTGTATATGTTACACCTGGCCACAGCAGATGTGCTGTTTGTGTCCGTGCTGCCCTTTAAGATCAGCTATTACTTTTCGGGCAGCGACTGGAAATTCGGGTCTGAAATGTGTCGCTTTGCCACTGCAGCGTTTTACTGTAACATGTACGCCTCCATCATGCTCATGACGGTCATAAGCATTGACCGGTTCCTGGCTGTGGTGTATCCCATCCAGTCCCTCTCCTGGCGCACTCTGGGAAGGGCTTCCTTCACTTGTCTGGCCATCTGGGCTATGGCCATCGCAGGGGTGGTGCCTCTCCTCCTCAAGGAGCAGACCACCCAGGTCCCGGGACTCAACATCACCACCTGTCACGATGTGCTCAATGAAACCCTGCTCGAAGGCTTTTACGCCTATTACTTCTCAGCCTTCTCGGCTGTCTTCTTTTTTGTGCCATTGATCATTTCTACAGTCTGCTATGTGTCGATCATCCGATGTCTTAGCTCTTCAGCTGTGGCCAACCGGAGCAAGAAGTCTCGGGCTTTGTTCTTGTCTGCTGCTGTCTTCTGCATCTTCATTCTCTGCTTTGGACCCACAAATGTCCTCCTGATTATGCATTACTTATTCCTCTCTCATAACCCCGCCACAGAGGCTGCCTATTTTGCTTATCTCCTCTGTGTCTGTGTCAGCAGCGTGAGCTGTTGCATTGATCCCTTGATCTACTACTATGCTTCCTCTGAGTGCCAGAGGCACCTCTATGGTATCTTATGCTGTAAAGAAAGTTCTGACCCCAACAGTTACAACAGCAGTGGTCAATTGATGGCAAGTAAAATGGATACGTGCTCTAGTCACCTGAATAATAGCATATACAAAAAGCTGTTAACTTAGGAAAAGGAACTGCTGGAAATCGGTGTGAAATGTGTTGCTTTGCCACTACAACATTTTACAGTAATAGATGTATGTCTCCATCATGCTCATGACAATTATAAACATTGACTTAAAAAGAGAAGGTTAAAAAGTAGATAACCTGGGGATTCTGTTAGTCCCTTGAAAAACTACTTCACCGTCTAAAACAACCAATGTATGATTTGCATGTCTGCTTCCTAAGAGAGCCATCAAGCATATATGTTGTTTAATTGTCAGAAAAGGTAACAGGAAGAGAAAACAGTGTTACTTCAAGGGAGTATTGCCTGCCAGTGCTACAATTACTGAATGTCACTTTTTGATATATCTAGGTGACTTATATGTGTACATATATGCACAAATACATATTATTTGCAGTGCAGTATGAAATAGGCACTTGGAAACTCACATTTTCTTCCCAGCAATTATGGAAATAATCTCTGACTTAATATGCAAAACATCTAGGTTGGTATACTTTAGCCCTGGACATCTAAAGATATCCATCAATAGTAAGGAATTCCATAGTTTGGACTTCACAACTTTTGCAAATAAGTGCATTTTGAAATTGTTGGGAAACAATATGTAAGTCATGGAAGGGTAAAGTTTGGTATTATCTCTGTGTAGAAAAGTTTACTATTTTTCATTTCAAATGTATCAAAGTTTGAATTCTTGTCGAAAATTATCAAAAAAGATGAAAAGCCCATTTTGATATGGGTAGCATTTTTGATGTTTTATACACAGGCTATGTGAACCAAAATGAGCATAAATCCCACTAGTGAGTAAACTGCCTTTTATGCAGTCCACCCTGAGAGCTGCACATGTCCACCCCATGGAGGACACCAAGCAGCAGAAAATGGCAGAGCTGCACATTGGCCAGAAACCTCCAGATAAGCCTCCCAGAGAGCAGAAACTGGAGACCACCACACTCCATTTTCCTGGGGCACTCCCAAGGGTTAGCTGTGAACTGATCGCATCTATAGGAAATCCGCAAAGCAGGATGGACATCCTGGGAGGTAGTAACTATGAAAGGTTTTTCTGCCCCTCTTAGGAACAGAGAAGGAAGGCATGCTCATGTCAAGTAGATGTCCTGCAAGGTTGGCTCTCATACAGAAGCACCTAGGCACTCTGATAGGTACCAGGCCTACAGAATATATAAGACTAAGATCTTGCTCAGAAAAGCAATGCAGAAGGCACATAGCTAGATTGTGATATGCATGTAATAAATATGTCCTATATAAAGAAGTGTTGTTAATCAGATGTCAACAAGCATTTCACACAAGCAAACCTATCATCTAAAGATCTTTGAACATTTGGGTTTCTACTTCCTGTGATTACAATTTAAGATGAAAACACAGGAAGTGTACGTTTCTTAAATAAGTCACTCTACATTAATTTGATACTATTTATTTATAAATATTTTGTTTAGTAAGATCTTAAGTCAACTTTCTCTCCCTCCCTCTCTCTCTCTCTCTCTCTTTGTCACACACAAACACACACACACACATTTTTTGTTCTTATTTTCTAATGGAACTGGGGATTGAACCCAGAGCCTTGTGCTTGCTAGGCAAGTACTCTGCCACTGACCTACATCCCCAGCCCTTTATTTAAATTTTATTTTGAGACTAGGTCTCACTAACTTGCCCAGGCTGGCCTCAAATTTTTGGTACTCCTGCCTCAGCCTCCTGAGTAGCTGGGTATTTATAGGCATGTGCTATCACACCAGGCTTCAAATAAACTTTTCTTTTAAGAATAATTTATGTTCATCTAGTTAGGAAGAAAATGGAATTGACATTGAAATCTAGGAAAATTTTTCTATATTTTCCATTCACTTTCCTTAAGAATTAAGGGACTGTTTAAAAAAGCATTTTTAAAAAATCCATCATAATTGAGAACATAGAAAGACTTTTGTGGGTTAGACAAAGTAATTTGAAAATTAGGTTAAAATATATCTTATTTTTCCTGATTTTTAAAAAAAAATGATATTTTAAACAAAAAAAAAAAGTGGAAAAATGGAAAAGTTTGGACTTCACAACTATTTAAATGAGCAAAGTAGGGACTGGGGTATAGCTCAGTTGGTAGAGTGCTTGCCTTGCATGCACAAAGGCCCTGGGTTCAATTCCCAGCACCACACAAAAAAATAAATAAATAAATAACATAATAAAAGAGTAAAATATTTCCAAATATCATAGAATAATTTACAGAAGAGTAATGTAACTGTATTTTAAGTAGAAGTTAGTACTTATTTTGTTAACTAGTTACTATATTCACTTTTTAAAGTAGTAGATTATCTTGTTTATTCAGCCTATACATATTAAAATGCCTCTGACTTAATATGATTATCATTATTGTATTATATTATTTCAGTTTTTATGTTCACTCTCTTTTTTAAAAAAAACATTATGTAACCTGTATTAATAAACATGAAAATTTTTGCTTGATAGCTGTTTGGAATAGTTTATTATGTCTTTTGGGTCCTGGCCAGATGGGACACTTGAAAGATTTAACTGAGGAGTGTTTAGTGAAGAGGTGATTTGCAGAGGAATGGGCAGGGTTAAGGAAACCTACAGGGGTTGGTGAAGTCCCCAGAGACTAGTAGTTAGGGAAAGCTGTTACCTCCCCAAGCCCCCGGGGATAGAGGCAGGAATAAACTGACCCCTTCTCTGTGACCCTCTGATCTCTTCCTGGTGCTTCCCATTGCTCCTCTCCTATTAACCTCACAGTGTGAAATTTAGGGAACCAGGGGGACATAATCCATAAAGATCAGCTTCTTTGGACATGGAGAATGGAGTTAGTAAATCAAGTTGAGATTTAAAAATTTTAAAAAATATAAAGATACAGCATGATTTCTACCAAAGACACTGGGCAATAAGCTTTCTATTTGTTTTATTCTTTTTTAGGAAATTTCAAGGTTAGATCATTAAAATATACTCAGATTCCTGGCTTATAAGCATTAAGGTTAATGTCTACTGTCATTTCCTAGTGAGAAACAAACATCAGAGCAGGGAGGACACTGGTAGGGGGACTGTGCTGCCCCTTTGCCCTGAGTGACAATCCTGGGCTGTTGAATGCTGCCTGGGTCCCTCAACCTCTGAGAGTTGAAAAATCAATAAAAAGTTTCCAGTGAAGTATTTTTGGATTCATACTCAATGAAAAAAATTATTTCAAAGCCAGGCATGGTGGTGCACGCCTGTAATCCCAGAGGCTCAGGAGGCTGAGGCAGGAGGATTATGAGTTCAAACCCAGCCTCAGCAATTTAGCAAGGCACTAAGCAACACATGGAGACCCTGTCTCTAAATAAAATATAAAATAGGGTGGGGATGTGGCTCATGGTTGAGTGAGTTCAATCCCCAATAAAAAAAAAAAGGGAAAAAAATTATTTCAACTAAGTTATGGTAACATGACCTTTTAAAGTTTCTGAGTCCATAGAAATATTAAATGAAGTCAGATTGTCTCAGCTCATGACCACCAGAAATAGGATCCTCTCTCTCACCAGAAAGTGACCTTTATACTCTTCTGTTATTTTTTTCCCCAAGATACAGTTGAGTTCAGAAAACACACTTGAATTTTATTAACACAAAAGTGTTTTTTTTCCACCAAGTCAAAAATAGTATTTTTGAGGAAATGGAATACTTGGCTGTTGAATATACAGTTGGAAAATTTTAGATTATATTTCCAGATTTAAGAAATTAAGAAAACAGCATGTTCTTGATTTTCAGAAGCAAGTGGAAAATGTTAGGCAGTGTTTATGAATCAGCTTTTTAAGTGTCTGAGTGCATGGAGAAACAATCAACCATAGGATAAATAAGGCCAATTGTGTTCGATGAAGGAGGTGTGGTTAAGTGAACTGCAATTTCAGGAAAGAAGAGAAATGCCCTAATGCAGTAATCTCAGAGTCAGGAGATCCATGAGATCAAAACTATCTTAACACACTAAGACCTTATTCATCTCTTTTGGTCTGATGTTTTCACAGAAGTACAGTTGAGTTTTCCAGAGATTACATGATGTGATAATGCAACAAGTTAAACACAGTGTTATGGTTTAGTTATTAGGTATTCCCCAAAAACTCATGAGTGAGACAATGCAAGGAGGTTGAGGTAAAATGATTGGGTTATGACAGCCTCAATAGGGATTAACTGAGTGGCGACTATAGGCAGGTAGGTGTGGCTGAAGGAGGCGGGTTATTGGGGGACATGGTATGATTTGTCTCTTTGCTTCCTGGTGCCATGCTCCCAGCTGCTCCACCATACTCTCCAGTCATGATGTCCTGACTCACCTCGGGCTCCAAAGAATAGAGTCAGCTGTCAGATAAAGACCTCTGAAACTGTGTATCCCAAAATAAACTTTTCCTCCTCTAAAATTGTTCTTGTCAGGTCTTTTGATCATGGCAACAAAAAAAAAAGCTGACCGAAGCATGCAGAAATAGATATTAAAATCTGTCTTCTATTAAGTCAGTCCTTAAAGACACTGCAAAAATATAAACAATGTGAATCTTCTCATTAAATTATTGTTTGGAAAAAAAAAAAAGTATGTTTAAGTTACAATATTTAGCTGGGCCTGGTGGCACATACCTATAATCTCAGTGGCTCAGGAGGCTAAGGCAGGAGGATCACAAGTTCAAAGCCAGCCTCAGCAACTTATCAAGACTCTCTTAAAATAAAAAAATAAAAAATAAAAAATTTTAAAAAAGGGGCTGAGAATGTAGCTTAGTGGTTAGGTGCTCCCGGGTTCAATCCCTGGTTCCAAAAATAAGAAATAAAATAAAATACAATATTTATGTTCACATGTAATGGCTTTATTATTATTTTTAACTGAATGTCTTTAAAAGTTCTTTATTTTAATGTTTAACATAGAAAATATCATTAGATAAGTTCTGAGGTGTTCAGGTAAACTGGATCTCCATGAAAAGAAAAAAAAAAGTCCTGATTTGTAGGATTTGTCACTTTCAGTGGTATAAATACTCGTTACATTGCCAGTTTCAAGCTTCCAACAGTCTAATACTTGACCTAAAATTTTCCTGAATAATGAATTCTTATGAGTGGGTACAAGCTGATACCAGCACACCATTGAATATAACCCACATAAACAAAGTTCTTTGTGGTCCTCAATAATTCCAGTTGTATTAAAGTATTCTGAACCAAAGAAGCTTGAGAACAATTGTTCTTACACAAGATTTTCACTTTATTGACTTAAAGGACACAGAAAAAAAATGGTAATTAAGATAAAGCAAAGTGGAATGAACAGCTCATGGCTGCTAGCTACCATATTGGCTTTCTGGCTGTCCCACATCTGTGTCTTAAAACAATAAAAACTAATTCAATTCACCAAGTATTGTGGGGCCGCCAATTGGGAAATTCAATGTGAGGTCTGGTTTTCAACCAGTTGCTGTCTAAAGGGAAGAGAGAGGCTTTTGCTGAGCACGATTTTGGCCAGCAGGCCAAGAGGCTGTTCAAAACCGCAGAAGATTTTACCTGTGAAGGCAGCCCTAGAAAATGAAGATTAGTCTCTGAGTTTGTAGTCATGGGGATTGTTGACTGCACACTGGTTTTCTGGAAACACGTGGAAAACCAGAGGTCAGATTCCGCAGTGTCTTGGAATTCAGCATGTATGGTTCCTACCCAGGTGGCCCTGTGTTTGTTCCTCACTTCAGGAAATGACTCATAAGCAGTAGAGAGATTACTTTTGAAAACTGCATCCATAGTAGCGAGAAGACGTGTGGTGGGGAAAGGGCCAGCCTGGCTGTTCTGTTCATTTTAATGACCTCATTGCTGGATCTGTTTACTGTGCTGCTATGTGACCCATTCAGGGAGGTAAGAACACCACAAAGGGGACATCTGCAGATACTGAGATGCATTTGTGGGCAAGAGCTCTATTGTTTTTTGTGTGTTTTTGCTTTATTTCTTATCCTGAGATACCTAGTTGCTCTTGAAGCGAGCCGAGACAATTCCCTCCCCCATAAGACAAAATACATTCATGTACATTAAGATCTTTGATTTTTAATCATAATACATAATATTTAGCTTAAAAGCATGAGATTTGAGGACTTTAGATTTAGAAAAAGTTTATAGCTTTTACAAAGACGTTTTAGGAACTTAAGTCAGTTATGAACTCTAGCTACACAAAGAATCAGTAGAGAGCTTCCCAAAGTCCAAAGTTCAAACCCATACTCAACCAACAAGGTAAAATGTTTGAGAATAGGGCTTGAGCATTGATATTATTTGCAGACTCCTCAAAGGGATTCTAATGTGTAAACCAGGGTTGAGACCACTGCTTTAAGAAAGTGTTTCTCAAATTTAACCTGAGTACAAATCATCCGGATCTCTTCTTAAACAGCAGACTTCACCCAGAAGGTCTAGGGTGAGGTCTGTATCTCAAATGACTTCCCAGGGAAGGTTGAAGTTGCTTACCCTTGGACCATACTTAGAGTAGCAGGGCCCAAAGAGGTTTAAAGTGGTCCAGGCACCCAGAAAATTGAATCCTCATATCCTTAATCTCATTTTTTTAGAATTATTTTTAATTCTGATAAATTTGGGGCAATTTTTAATATAGTGATAGCATACAGCCTTAATCCAAATTTGTTTTAGGTAATAACTATCTTGCTATAAGCCTTTTTCTTCTTAGTTTTTTTTTCCCCCCTAGGGGAGAAGATAGCTTAAAAGGCTCTAATCTCAGACAGAAAACCATTTACAGACACTGGGGTTTAGAATGGTGACTCCCGCTTTTTTAAAGATAGTGTCCAACAGATAGCAGTAGAGTCTGATTACCGGAAAGCAGATGTGGATATGTTTCCCATCTCTGGATCTGGTTGAAAAATGGTGACATCAGGGACATGCAGGGGTGCATCAGGAGCATCAGTCTTGAGGGTGCTAGAATGAGGAGCTTTGCAAACCCTGAAGAAAATGAGTCAGCCCAGGGATCACCATCAGCGGATCAGTGACTCCAGGGAAAAACAAAGATTTCAGAAATTAACTCTGAGAGTACATATTTGCAGCATGTACAATAAACCCGCGGTAAGTTCTTCATTGTAGAAGCCCTGTTACAAGTTGATGAAAAAACTACTAGAGGTGAAAGAGAAACTAAAATTACTAGTCAACAGATGGAAAAATGTACTTCAACAATAATCAAATAGCTAAAGTTTGAAACAGGATATCACTGGCTCCTATCTAATCAGCAATGATTTTTTCCTATGATGGTTATAAACAGCTCTCTAATAAATATTACAGAAGGAATGAAGAAAAGAAGGAATATAATATAAATACAAGCAAGGGTGATATAATGTTGGTGAGCATGCTTTAGGAAAGCAATTTGACAAAACAACATCATCTTTAATAATATTCTTAACATCTGACCCAGATGTATGACTTCTGGGAATTCTCAATGAATGACTATAAGTAATACCACCATCAAGAAAGTAATGTTAACCAGTTGTTAATAACAACCT